CTTCATCATCAATATTGTTAAACACTGCTGGTTCTTTATTCAGCCATATGCAGTGGGATGAGTGTATCAGCAGGAAAAGCTGGCCACAGACCCCGACTCCATCCTAGGGAAGCCCTTGGTGGAAGCTGATCTCTGCTTGGTGACACTGACCTCTCCATAGAGGTCAGACCTGACTTTGGGAAGTGGTGTCGATGGCTCAGAGCATCCATGTCTGCCCGTATTGGCCTGGAAGCCCAGGCCACCACTTTCCTTATCTTTGTAGCACTGACAATGCCTTGACCAGAGCACAGTGAATGAAAAGTGTCCCCACGGTGCTTGGGGGGGGGAGGTTAGTTATTGTCACGATGCATTATGGTATATTCAGCAGTGAGAGTGGGCCTGGAGTGCCTGCGGTGTTACTGAGCTGCCAGCAGCTGAGAACCATTTAACTCATTGTCTGGGGCATCTTCCGGGCTAACGCCTAGAGCTGGGCTGTGGGTTGCAGGACTAGCGCTGGATCGCATGGGAGGCAAGTGGCCAGCCTCCTGCAGGAGGTGAGCTGCTGGCGCCTCCTTCTGGCCCTGCAGAATCAGGCCTGGGGAGGGCCAGTGCTGGAACCTTAGCCCTTGGGCTCCCTGCCACAGACCCAGAGAGCCCCAGCTCCTGGAGAGCTAACTGAAGAGAAGGAGGGAGGCTGTTATGTAACCGGTTTAACTCCTCGTCAAAACTGGTGACTAATTCAGACAGTCTCGGCCAGGTTGGCTCGGCAGCTTTGCTATGAGTGGCATGGAGGTCTTGGCTGGTCTGTGGCTGGTTCTCACACCCTCTGCTGGATGGATCTCTCAGCTGCCTGGCTGGCCTTAGCTCCCACAAACTCAGTTGCTATCCCATGACCACTTGGATCAGCTTGGTCAGTGAGGGAGGCCTTTTCCATGTGAGTCCAAGGCCCATCTTTGCAACCCTTCTTGCAGTGCAAAAAATGGCCAGAGGGAGAGAGCTCATGTGTGTCTGCCCCAAGGCCTGGGGATTCACTGAAGTCTGGCATTTGCAAAAGAAGAGCAAGGAGTGATCACCACTGCTTGAGAGGAAAGATGTCCCAGAAGTACATGGTCACCACAGTCTCTGACTGAGGGTCCCTGGGCTCCCAGGAACCCTGGGCAATGCTGGAAAGCCCTGTGGTCACTGCCCACTTTTCTTGTTCAGAAGGTGTTCATGGGCCACTCAGTCCTTCTGTCCATTAGAAGGCTGTCCTTAGGGAAAAGGGTGCACGGTAAGTGTTTATCAACAATCATCACAGTGAGCGTCCGTGCTGTGCCAGGCACTATTATTAACACAACACCCTCTGTGTTTGGAGCCGTTCCGTTTTGTAGATGAGGGAGCTGAGGCTGAAAGCGGTTGGTTGTGGGGTGTGTCAAAGCTGGTAAGCCGCTGAGGTGGGATTTGAACTCACAGCTCAGAGACTTGGAAGCTCAAGCTGGCTGTGACACATGCCTTACTGCGGTATTCCCAGCGCTGGCTCTGAGGCCCTTCAAAGACTTCCCACGTCTCAGCGAATTCATGGTAACCACCCAACCAGCCCCAGAAGATAATGTGGCCTTGTACGTCTCCTGCTGCTTCCTTCCGCCAAGCAGCTCACAGACATGACCTCATTCGCTCTCCCAGATCCCATACTAGGGCTGGGGAGGGGTGGGGAATCCTTCACTCTGCTCCCAGGGAGAAAAGAGAGGCACAGAGAAGCTTGGGAACCACCACTGGCCACACAGCCAGAGGCAGGAGAGCTGCCACTGGAACCAGGCTTCTCTGCCCTCTAGGGCAGTTACACAGCTTGTCGGTGGGAGCCAAGATCACCCTTCCAGATCCAGCACATTGGGGTGCTCCTCTTAGGGGTGACTGAGTGACTGAAACAGGTCCAAGAGCATTGGGCATGTGTTGAAAAAGGAAATTGGAGATGTGCTGAAACTGGATCCACATGAGAAGGGTATGTGGGATGAGGGCTTGTCACCTCCCTACCATGGCTGCCCTCCTACCCAATCACCTGGGTTCCCTGGGCTGCTCAGAGCCTCTCTGTGTCCCAGCTTCCCTTGCCAGAGGGTCTGGAGGTCAGAGCCAGCCTGGTAGGATGGAAAGAATCTGGAGAAGATGCCCACCAGACACCCCTATGTTAGTCATTTCCCCTCTCAGCTTTTCCATCTTTCATTCAAAGCCCGAGAGGCTGACTCCAGGAAGGAGACGTGGCGTGTGAGAGACTTCATCATCAGACAGGGATGAATTTGCTAGTGTCCTTTAGCCCCATCACGCTAGGCAAGCCCTCTACACCCTCAGCCCCACATTTAGACACTTTGGTTGGTCCTGCTGTTGTACTGTTTAGGAGTAAAGATTAGCTGGAGACCAAGCACTGATTATACACCAAGCCTGGTGCTAGGCATTTTATCGCATTATCTCACTTATTATTGACAAGTGGGTGAAGAGGTGGCCTTATCTCCATTACAGACAAGGAAACTGAGCTTGGAGCAGCTAAATAACCAGCCAGGGTTCCTTAGCTGTTAAGTGATCAGGCTGAAATCCGAATCCAGACCATTTGACTCCAGCGCTCGTCCGTCCTCCTCCTCATGAAATTATATTGCTTCCCTTATATTACTCATAATTGCCCTGGATCATAATTACAAATTTATGGGCCCGTAAATGTCTCAAGAACAGAGACCGTGACTCACGGATTTCTGTTGTCCTAGAACGTGGTGCACAGTAAATACACACAGTAGGTACTCAATGGATGCTTATGGAATCAGTGTTGAATACAAGGCTATAGGAGCTGAGGTCCCCAAGGAATGTGGGATGCCTGAGAATGGATGCGGAGGTCAGCCGAATGGAGACAGTGCCAGCCTTCCAGGAGAGGGAGTCCTAGCAGCCCAGCAAGAGTGACAGGATCCAGGATGGTGTGCTGACCTCCTACTGGGGAAGCATCTGCAGGGCTCTAGGAAGTGTCTCACATGCTGTGTTCTAAGTCCGGCATGAAGGAGTGCCGTGCGAGTCCGAGGCAGCCCGTACTGGAAGGACAGATGCCCCTGACCTTGTAGGGTGGACTGTAGCATAGACGCTCCCTGAAGGCAGGGACTTCGTGACCTTGCAAATGACTCTGACCCTTGCAGGCCTTTGTCCTCTCTAATGCTGTGCAGGTTTCAAGGTGAAAACAGGGATGTGCACCTGGTCTCTAATCTCTTGCTTATGCTCTCTGCCTGGCCCTACAGCCTAGAGGGCTGGCGAGGTCTTCCTTCCTGGACGGAGGAGACAGCTGACATTTCTCTCACAGGTGGACCTGTCTCTGGGAGCTGTCGAGTGGCATGTGGGAAACACCACCACTAGCCTCATTCACAGCCCCCTCTGGGGCAGAGGCAGTGGTGCCCACTGAAGCCAACCAGAAGTGCCTTGCTGTCCCGGAAGCGGCCCACAGCCTGGGTAGTTTGCAGACATGGTGGGGTGAGGCTGCGGTGGGGAGGAGGGAGGCACTGAGTGAGAAGACCCCCCTGCGAGCCGCATTCATACAAAATGCATTTCCCAACGTATCCCTCTGGCCTGTCGAGGCCCTTCTGCTCACTGCTCTGTTTATACATGATAGACAACTAATTAACAGCCGAACCTCTTGAAAGGTCTTTTCAGAGGTAATGTTCTGACAGATTATGTCAGCAAGGAGCACTGATTTGTCTAAGCATGGATCACATTGTTTCAGACTGAATGAGGTGAATATTAAACTGCTTTAAATGTACTCTTCATAAAGTACTAATTACACACTCCCAAGGGAGAACAGCCAAGGAATACTAAACAGCAGAGAAGTCAACAGAGGGTTCTTTTTATAGTATGTTGCTGGGCTCTGTGTTTTTCTGTCTCCTTTCTTGCTCTCTCTCTCTCTCTCTTTTTACAGTAAAATCACAGCACGCTAAAGAATACACATTTATAGCACAATGCTTCTCATCTAATTATATGGCAATCATTAGTTTTAAGCTGGATGCATTATATTTTCCTTGATATATTATGCCTAAGGCATAACTCTGCATTTATTGCTGCTGCTGGCAGATTTGAGTCCCCTACCCCCCTTTTTCCAAACCTGAAGGCTTCTCTATCCCCCACCCTTCAACAAATTATTTAACCCCACTGTTAGTTTTCTTATTGTCTCAAAGAAAAAAAAATTACAATTTAAATTAGCAAAAAGGGGGGAAACAACACACCCTTTTTAATTTAAAGAAAACACACACACACACACACACATGGAAATTGTGTGTTTTAATTTAAAGAACACACACACACGTGTGCATTCTAGGAAGCTGTGCAGGTTTTTTATTATTATTATTAACTAGATGGTGTCCTGGATACACAATCTCTATGTCCCACGCCAGCAAAATTCCTTTGCAGAGAATCCTAACAGACCACAATGAATTCCCACTTGGTTAAGCCTCATTGTTCCTCAGGGAGCAGGGATATTTATATGTACGTAAATATATGTCTATATATCTATAAAGCAGCACAGGGGCAGAAGACCACATGGCAGGGGCATTTCTGCAAAATGCCTATCTGCAGATGTTGCCAGAATTCTGCTCCCTCAGTTTTTTGGGGTGTTTGTGACAGTCACCTTTGTTCCTGCTAGAGGAAAATCTGCTCTTAACCTCCACTGTTCCTCGTTCTTCAACTTTAGAGAACGTGAAGTCATACTGGACAGCTTGAAAAGCAAAGTCAATGTTGAGGTGCCCTAGATTCTTAGATTCTCAGTCCTATGGGAGGAAACGGCTAAGTTCCATGGGGATGGGTGAGCTGGTATTGATCTGCCTGATTTCATGCTGAAAATTCTCTAGTGACCATGCCACTAAAGAGGCAAAAGATGGCAGAGGCCAGAGAGGTAGAATTACTTCTGCACAGGGAACCGAGCAGGGCGTCTCCTATGGTCTACCTTTTCCTCCTCTACAACAGAACTAAGAACCGTGGGATGCTGGAGTTGAAGGGAGTAGAGATTTTCTTTGTTCTCTGTTTTACAGCTGGGGAACCTTGACCAAGAGGCACTGTGTACATCACTTAATGTCACACAGCTACCTGCAGTAGGGCTGGACCCCAGGCTCTTCACTGCCAGGTCAGTGTCCACTTCAAACAGAATGGTCCCAAGCAACTCTTCCTTCAGAAGAACAACCACGGGCAAAGGAACAAAGCAGTTAAGAGTTGCCCATTCATTTGCTGCTGAGTCCCTGTGACAACGTCCATGATAAAGAACTTGTGCCTTCCTGGTTCTGGGTCCTCTCTTGTGGTGGTCCAGCCCTCATGGCCTGGCTCCAGGGTTGGGAGGGTTTACGAGAAGTGACTGCTGGAGCTAGCAGGCCTGGCTTCACCTCTGACCTTGGATAAGGGACTTCATGTGTCTTTGCTTCTGCTTCTTCCTCGGCTGAGAATGGGGACATTATGAGTGCCTGCCTCACAGGATTAGCCATCACCACTGCCAGAAAGCTCCTGCCTTCTCTTGAGCTCTACCCCTGTGCAACAATTACCAGGAAAGAACGATCTTTCCCCAGCAACTACCATGGCTATAATTGTGCGTGGAGCCCCATGGACCAAGATGAACTTTTCTCCTATCTGAACGCTTTCAACACTTTCATTCATTTCGTTCACCACACAGCTTTCACCAGGTGACTTCTTTTTTTCTTTTTTTTTGTGGTACTGGGGATTTAACTCATGACCTTGCACTTGCTAGGCAGGCACTTATGCCACTGAACTAAATCCCCAGCCCACACCAGGTGACTTCCACAAGCCAGGGTCACATCTGAAGGAACTTATCACTCTGCTTCAGAGTTCTTCCTCAAGGGAAAAGAAAAAGAAGGGCAGCAAATCTGAGCTTCCATTAAGCTGCTGTAGTGTACTCATGGTCTTGGGTTGAAGAGGGTTCAGTTGAGTCTAAAACACACAGACACACACACACACACACACACACGGACTCCACCCTGGGTCATCTGACCAGGCTGCCTTTGTTCCCATCTTGTCTCTGGGATTCACTCTTCTCCTGCTTCTGCTGAGCTGTGCCCTCAAACCCAGGCTGCTCTCTCTGAGCTGTTGCTGGAGGTACCACGGGCTGCCTGCTACACGAATCCTCCAGAAGCACCGAGTTAGGGGACAGTCCCACTGCCCACTATGACCTAACCTGAGCACTGGGACTGGCTTCCTAGGAATGTGGTCACTGTCGTTCCCAGAGACCCTGAGCATCAAAGGGACCCGTGTCTGGGTTTAACGCTCTGTGGTTGTTGTGTTTGAGTTTCTAGTACTCTCATCTCTGAATCTGGGTTTTGTAAGTGAGAGCTGACAGAACAGTGGCGCTTGCACTGGGCCCCTGCAGCCTGGTCCCACCCGCCTTGTGATTGCTGTTTTCCTCTCAGTGGCAGCCTGGGCACAGGTGCCCAGTGGTCATCAGACAAAATCTGATGGGTCTTAGAGTGGGATAATTGCCTTTGTTCCTAGCTATGACTCCTACCCACCCCCAATCCAGGGACCAAACACATCTCCACATGGAGGTTGTGATCCCTAAGGATGTTCCTGGCCCTGAGGGTGGGAAGAATGGACTGACTTCCCCACCCTGGGTGCACCCAATTTCCTTGTCGTATCAAAGCATACATCTGGACCTCTAGGGACTTAGCTGAGAGCTTCCCCCTCACTGCCCTTCCATCCCATGGCCACTTGATTCTTGGTCCTTTCTCAGGAACATCTCTTTTCAGGGATGAGTGTAGCCCCACATAAGCCCACGTCTGGACTACTGTCGCTACTGCTGAGGCATGGCCAGCATCTGGTCTCCTATCTGCTCTTGACTGCTGCTGCCAAAGCTGGCATCACAGGAAATAGATGTGACCTGGTCACTCTCCTATTGAGACCTATTCCATAGGTTTCCTCCCCTGAAGCACAGTCGTTTTCTAGATCCCGAGGATATGATGGTGTCTCATACAATTTGTGATGTCTGCCTAACACAGTGCCTGACACATAGTGGTTCCCTGTTACAAGTTTGGTGAATCAGGAAACCATGACCCTTAGCATTTAGGGCCCAAAGGAGGGGACACATTGTGGTGAAATCATGGACGGTGTGGGTGCTGTCTTGGCAAGGATGAGCTCCTGTCAAGAAGGACTAGCAGCAGATCTAAGCAGGCAGTCCCTTGGCCTCTTTGGGTGGAAATTAAACGCACTTTCCTATTGAGCCCTTACATCTGCACGCTACATCTCTAGCCAGGCCGGGTGCTGTGAAGCCATCTGGTGACAAGGACGAAATGGTCTCAAGGTTGGCCACACCTGGCCATACATGTCCATAAGACTCAGGCAGTGAAGTCCATGCATAGGTAATGAGCACCCAGACAATGTCACACAGTGGAACATGCCGGCCACCAGACCCTTCGGTCCCTGCCTTCACGGAGGCTGCAGGCTCATGATGATATACCTAACTCTAAGCAGGACTTTCTCATCTCCAGAAGGGGCTTGGAGGACCCCTCACACAAGTTTCTGTAGAGGCTGAAATATCACATGTAAGGTGTTGGAGCCAAAATAAACCTCTTCTCCTTTAAATTACAGGTGTCTGGTATTTCGTCCCAGTGAAAAGTGCCTGCCCAGTGATAGCAGAGATGCTGCTCTTTTTTCTCTCCTTGACACTGCTCCGTGCCCCAGGGTGTCACTTTCATCCTCAGTGTGGCTTCTCCGTCTTGCTCACAGACACTCAGGGTTTGCTGTCCCTCTGGTCCCTCGTGAGTCACAACATGAGCTATGGAGGAGATTAAGCTGGCTTTGATTGCCTCTGCCACCTGATGGTCTTTGGCTGGTTCTGTGACCTCCCCGTGCCTCAGTTTCTTCATGTACAAAGCAGGGATAACAATATCACGCTCCTCAGCATGTGGTGGGGATGGAGAGAGGGCCGCACAAGGGCAAGGGTACAGCACAGGAGTTTCGGTTCCTTGTGAGTCACGCTAAGGGGCACCGTGGACTAAACAGATTCTCTCTCCATTCTCTCTCTGTGCAATTAAAAAGGGGCTGCTTTTTGCAGTGCAATAAAATGACTGGGGTGAGACTTTTGTGGAGGCGGGGGGGGGCAGGTATTTCAGGGGCAGGAAGTGGCCTTCCTTTCCTTCTGAAATCACACCCCTGAGACTAGCAGTTTTCAGCTTCAAAGCTGTGACACACTGGTGTGGGACCAGCAGTTGTGAGATGTAGCACAGACAAATATGTTACTAATAATAAAGTGCCACCGTTTTCGAATAATCCCCCCTTATTTCTTTCTCTTGGAAATGAGAGGGAATTCAAGGTTATCCCTGCAATGTCGTCAGACCTGCTGTCATCCCCGTGTCACTTCTGCAGGGTGGAAGAGGTGTAGGACCCTGGAGTTGAGCCTAGCGGTGTGGATGTGCATGGCCCCAAGGTCACAGATGGCCAGGAGAGAAAGTCACAGTTGACGGCCTCCAACTGAGACACAGTCATGAGAGCCTCTGAGAAACCAAAGGACAACAGCGCGTGGCACGGGGAATGAACGGCTGCTTCCACAGCCATTCGGCTGACTCTGGAGGAAGAAGACCATGACACAAATCACCATCTGCCACCTGATGCCATTTACATGGTGTTAAGAACATGCCCAATCAGTGGTGACAGCAGTCTAAATAATCCCCATTGTCGGAGGTGTGGAGTGGGAGAGAAGCCTGTGAGGCCTGAAAACCGGGGTACTGAAAACCTATAGTTTGATCTTGGTGGTGATTCCACAGGTAAAAAGCTGTACAGGAATTCACTTGAGATCTGTGTCCTTGGTATATGCCTTTGTAACTTCATAAAAAGTATGTGAAAGCCACTGTGGAGTCCTAGTCACACACTGGCAAGGGGTTTTCTGACAGCACCTGTTGGAAGTTCCCCAAATACTCTAGGGCTTAGGCAGGGACAGTGGGGTGATGATGTTAGTTCAGGACTCCTGGGTGCTCTGGGGTCCCCAGCAGGCTCAGTTTCCCCCTCAGGGACTGCCCTGAGCTCTTTTCAGTGGCTCTGCGGCTCCTCTGTGGTGCTCCCTGGGAGATGACTGACTTTGGGAACCTGAAGTCTCAGTCTCATTAGCTCCAGGACTGGCATATTGGCCCTGATCAGGAATCTTTTTCTGGTTTTCCTGATAACACAGCTCTGTAGAACAGTGGAAAGTGTTCCTTACTGGCCTGGAGTTTGGAGCTCCCCATCCTGAATCAGCTCAGATTAAGGAGTGAGACAGGCATGCCTCAGCCTGGTCACCAAGGCCTCAGGATGCTGAGGTGACTGCTCCTGGGCCACCCATGTGGATCTCATTCTGTTTGCTTTGTGTTACTTTTCACCCACCCCTTCGGTTGCCAAGGAAACGGTGACACAGCCCCAGATGAGACCTGAGCCCAGTCAATACAGTCTTCTGACTCGAGGTACAGGGAGGCAGGCCTAGCACAGAGGGCTGTGGGTGTGGGGGATCAGGGCAGTGTGGGGTAGGCAGTGGGGAGAGGGCTGGCTGCTGGCCCAGACAGAGGCAGTATTCTACTCTCAGCCTTGGGAGACCCACCCTTAGCTGTGTCACCAGCAGATACCAGACAGATGGCTCCAGAGGCCAGAGTGGACAGCCTTTTCCATCCTGGTGCTGTGTGGCCTGGGGACATTGGTTTCTGAGGCTCTATCACATCCAAAGCCTCTGTAGACCACAATAGAGCCAAGAGCCAGACAGAGTGGGTACCTGGGCACTGGACAGTTGGGGAGGGGGCACTGACTAGAAGCTAGGATCTACACAGACCCTTCTTTATGGGAGACATGCAACCTGTATCCTTTAGGGCTGGACTTCCTCAATTTGCAGGTCTAGTAGCTGTGGGCCCTTTGGGACTTTCCCAAGCCTCATCCTGTCACCTCTGTCCCACCTCAGTCTCATGCATCCTGCTGGCTCTCTGGATGCACCATAAAGCCATCCTTGCTTCCTGCAGATCTGCCTTTGCCTCTTCATACCAACTACACAGCCCAAGTGCCCAAGCTGGGAGCTGGACTGGTTCTTGTGTATGTGTGTGTTGTGTTTGGGGTGTTATCATGGTTCCTTGACAGTAGCACAAGCCTTGAGATAAGGTTATTCTGAGTTTTGTCCTTGGCCCCAAGCCACCCTGCAATCTGACGAGTTGACCAACAGCCTCTCTACAGGTGCCTCAGGTCTTTTTGCAAAGAGACCCTCTGTGGCCATGTGATGGCCCTCTAGGAGCCAGCAGCTGGACACTGCAGCTGGACACCGAGCTGATCCTCCCTCCATGACTGCCCGCCTGCACTCAGGTATTTCCCTCTCACCCAGTCACAAAACTTCGGAGTTATTTTTGACCCATCTATCTCCTTTGTCTCCCTTACCTAGTCACTTATCAAATTCTGTCAGTTCTTCCTTCAAAATGCCTCTAGCATATATCTCTTTCTTTCTAAAATACAAATTTCAGGGCCAAGGATACAGCTCAGCAGCACAACCAGTATGAGGCCCTGTGTTCAATGCCCAGTACCAAAATATAAAAATTTCATTGTTTTTCTTCCTATAAAAGAGGAATATGCTCAGTGTAGAAAATTTAGAAAATACAGTACTTATAACCAAGAGGAAAAGAGATTGCCCACAGAGCCTTCTGCACAGTTCCCTGTTCTCATTGCTTCGATCCGCGCACAGCTGGCCACTTTGCCTTGCCCATGAGCCTGCTTCTTGCTCTTCTTCCCTTCTCCGTCTCCATTTCCCTGCCACCCTCCTCCCTCAGGGATCTCTATCCATTCTCTCCTTGTCTTCTCCTTGTGCTACCTTTGAAATGCTGCTGTGGTGTTTGGAGGCAGCTGCTTTTGGTATCATGGTGGTACAATGGCTTTGTAAGAAGCAGGAGAGAGAGCCAAGCTGGCATGCTCGCTCTGTTTTCTGCCATGAGGTCTCTGTTGCCATGTTGATAATGCAGCACGAAGCCCTCACCAGATGCCAAGTGAATGCCATGTCCACTGCCATGCCCTAGGATGAACCACTCTCCAGGACCGTAAGTCAGATAAGCTTCTATTCTTTACAAGTGACCCCATCTCAGGTATTTTGTTATAGCACCAGATAGCGTACTAAGATACTCAGGACTTGAGTAAAAAGTCAGCAGAAGATAGGGTCCCGTCAGGAGAGCAGTAAGCACTGTGGGAGGTGGTCCCGGTCAGATCTGCCCCTGCAGCACAAGTGTGAAGCCCACCTCAGCTTGTCTCCCCTTTCCCCAGTGCTTACCCTTCTTGTCTAATTGTGCTTTTAAAACCTGTGTGTCCCATCCCTCCTCAGACTCTGCTTCAGCTGCATCTCCTCCTCCTTGCTACATCCATAGGTCACACCTCAAATGCCTCCTAGGTCCAAGCAGGTCCCCTGACTTCATCAGTGGGTGGGGTGGGGTCTGTGGTGAGCAGGAGAGGTCCTTGGTCTCCAGATCATTAAATGTAACCTCTAATTTTTCAGTGTTGCCCACTGATATCAAGATATCCTCCTTGATTTATGCCGTCACAAACTCATCCTAAATGAAAATTATCATTATTTGAAGTTGAATTTTGTTTTGTTCCAGGGATCAAACTCACAACCTCACGTTTGCCAGGCAGGCACTTACACCACTGAGATAAACCCACCGGCCCATGACAATGAATTTCAGTCTACCTAATCCACTGCACATCAGTTTAGTAACCCAGCAATTGAACTGTTGGTGACTTTCCTCCTGACTGCAGAGCTGACTGGGAGCTGAGGCCCCCTGCCCTCGTCACAGTCATGTTCCCTGGTGCATAGCCTGGAGAAAGATCAAATTTCAAAATTCCAAAGCATAGTTTCTCCTGAATCTGGATCACATTTGCATCATCCTAATGTCAAAAAATATTACGTTGAGCCAACATTCAGTCAGGGACTGTCTATAGTTCAGTACCGTAAAGTCCTTACCCAGGCAGAGGAGAGCTGTCCAACTGTCCAGCATGCCATTTCTCCTCTGGAGAATTCTGTGGCTCCAGTCCATGGGCCACTCCTTGATCAACCTGGATCCTCATGAAGAAGTATACACACCCTACATTTAGGTAGGGTCTGTGCTTTAGTGGGAGACACACTTATGCACCCATTCAACAAAGATTTTGGAACTGCAGATTTTGCAGTAAAAACCTGACTTTAGCTACCAATGCCAGCACATTCTTGAGCAAGTCACTTATATTCCCCAGTCTTCATTTTCCTACCTGTAAGGTAATGAGGATTATGAGGACCCGCTTATGAGGACTCGCTTATATGGAATCGTGTATGTGAAAGCATGTTGCAAAGCAAGAAGCTTTGTGAGGTGCCATTAGCACCCCCTTTCCCTTTGCTCAGGGCTGCTAGCCTGTGTTTCTAAATAGTGGGCACCAGCTGCCTGCGGTCTGGAGTATATGTCAGGCATTTAATAAAATCTATTTATGATACCGTATCTACCACCGTCAGTAGAGGATCTGCACAGATTACCACAAAACCATATGCAATGAAATAATAACATAGTGATGTTGATAATGATAAGTGACCTTCATGCAGCTCCTACTCCATGCTTGCCGTTCTCCTA